ATATATATATATATATATATATATATTATAAGCATATCATATTATATATATATATATATATTATAATTTGTGTGTGTGAGAACACGCGTAACAGCACGAGCTAGCTAGTCCGCACATTATATACGAATACAGAGAAGATCAGCAGCCAGTTCGTGGTTTAATCGGTTGGTCGGTCGGTCCTAAGTCCTAACTGTATAATATGTAATATTTTTATAAGTTCCAGTTGCGTATATATGTGTGTGTGTGTGTGTGTGTGTGTGTCTGTGTGTGTGTGTGTGTGTGTGTGTGTGTGTGTGTGTGTGTGTGTGTGTGTGTGTGTACGCGTGTGTGAACCGAACTGTTCTCGACGTCCAAGTAATTCCGAATTCGTATTGTCGGCATGACTGCTTAATTTTTTATGATATTTCGTTTTGTTTTGAAGCCTATCATATGTGTGTATATATATACATAATATAATAATAGTATATTTTAAAAAAAGAGAGAACAGAAAAAATAGTACTAATGTGCGAGCAATTATAGTTTATAATATATTGTTAAAAAAAAAAAAAAACATAATATTAACTAAGTACGACGATGTACGCGCTGTATCTCACGGGTCTGGCCGACGATGGTAACCATCAATTACCTATATAATACATTAATATGGTATATGCACGCGTTGTTGTATGACCGTTTCGGGTTCTCGCGTTATCGACTCTCCGGTGTTTTTATATTTAATTTATTTTATACAAGATATTAATATTAATATTAATATTAAATACGAGCGCATACGGGTAATAAATAATAATAATAATCAAGTATGCGAACGGTAGCTGACGCGTTTATGTATAAGTGTATTATTATATTATAATATAATAATATACTTTACATACAATATACATAGTAAATTGTTATACATAAATATATAATTTGGCGGTGAGTACTGAATATTATACAATATATACTTACATCGAACGACATGTCGACAGAGTGTGAGTTTTATGGTGTGTAATAATATTGTACGCGCGGTAATAATATGTAACAATATTATAATTTATAATATAATAAAAAATACACACACATGGTATACCTATGTTAGGTTTATGGGTACAGAATCGCTGGTCACCGGCAATGTAGGTGAACGTAACAATAATATGATATTTTACTTTTATGTTCCGAAGAAGTGTCCATTATAAAATATGTAAAACTGTTACTCTAATAAGTATTATATTCTACTCAATTTATAGGTACATGCGCATGAAGCAAAACGTACCTATATGGTTATGGTCCGTTCGTTGCGAAAAGAATACCACGTTTGGTTTTCACTCAACTATTTTTGACGTGTTACTCGAAAAATGAGTGTGAAGACGTTTATTCTATATAAATATTAAACATTAGTTTTATATGTTTTATACGTGTTGTTTACAATTTACGTGGTTCAAAAAAATTATGAAAATGTTAAAAATATTTTTAAAAACAAGTTTTCAAATATATATTATAAACACCGTCGGTAATCGCATGATCGTAATAATAATGCACGTAACCGGTGAACATAGAAACGCCAATTTACACGAAGCTCTAGATTTATGTTAATTTTTTTAATTTTTTAAAATGCAACAAGATTTTCTAGTTATAGTCTCGCGTGCACTACAATTTTATCGCGATTTCTATAGGCTGGCTCCGTGAAATCGTTAAAACATTTTTCTTCTAGGCGTGTAAGAACATTTCTGTAGACCGACCGAAACATGTTTTACAAATTACAAGACACTGATAATGTTGTTCGTTCGTCCTAGAAACTATTATTAAACTATTATAATATACCAGTAGCCGATAGGGACGTGTAAACGTGTTATGTCTTAAAACCAACGTATATTTGCATAATATCATATTATTCATTATTATAAATGCCGTATACTAACGTCTATGCGGTATACGATAAAAAGTTTGAATATAGTTTCTTTTAAAAAATTTTTTTATTTCGCCTAAATAGTGCAGCTATCTACACTATTACACGATGACAGTAATAAACATTGTGGTAACGAAGTGTGGTGTTTAATAATAATAATAATAATAATAATAACAACAACAACAATATATTTATGACTGTCTAGACGAAAAACCCTACATCATGTTACAAGTTACAACGGTTTGTATATTAAAATAATATTAATAATAATTTACTACATTACTACGATGTCATAACGCGTATGGCTCATTTTTAAAGTGCTTATTGGGATTAAACAGCTATAATTTTTGTAACGTTTCCTACGGTAAAGAACAATAGTATTTAAGTTTTAATACTAAAAAGCCATACATAGCAATATACCTATTTAGTTATAGGTATTAGGTTTAAATTTTTGACACTTTCCAATTAATGTTTATAATTTGTGGTATTATTTTAAAAACATTATATTTTTTGTTTCTTTTGCGAGAATATAATTTGCAAATGGTATTGGGAAGTTATTTTTGAGTTATTTATTTGGTCATTTGGATGAGTATAGACTTCCGCTTTAAACGCAAGGTTTAATATTGTATTGATATTGTCGATATTGGTTACTTTATTTTTTATATTTAAAAGAACAATATAATATCTTATAAATATATATTTGACGAAAATATTAAATAACTATTAAGAAAACCGGTATCAGAGTAAAAGTCAAAGTCTTTGCTTTTGACGTAAACCCTCCTGAACCTGTGTCCAGCATATCTGCAGGTGTTAACTATAAAAAATAAATAGCAATTAAAAGTATGTTCTATGGTGACTAAAATAGTTATCGAGAAATTGAGAAGGCGGTTGCGCACAGTGTAGCTTCTTAAAGAGTAATATCTCGTTAAATTTTATGTCGTAAAAGATTGATTTCTTTGAAACCTGAAAATAAAAATAAACTAGTACTCACATTCCAGAGATATAGTTTTAACTTAATTTTCCAAATAAATATGTAATGACAAATGATATTATATTATGTACTCTTGAAATGTAAATAGATTTAAAAATTTTTTTTTATACGTATTATTGAGTATAGTGGTGTCAGCTTCAAAAGTCTTATGTATCTCTGTCGAGTGTCGACCCATTGGAAATAAGATATTGAAGGCACTTTGAAGTAATTATAGCTTTTTTCAGAAGTTACCTTTAAGGAAAATTAACATGATTCAACTATATTACCTACTGTATTTTTTTTTTCAAACGTTTTGATTTATTATTACTTTAAAATTATTGTGATATCTCCACAACTATTTAACACCGAGATGAGCTAATCCAGATCGCGAGTGATCAACATATAGGTAGCCACTTTGTCTTGAATAGCTTTTTCATTTTAAACCACTAAATTAGTATAGTTATAGGTGAAATAATCGTTAAATCAAATGTAGAAAGTCTCTATTTTGACTTTCTAGAACGTCATTTCTGATAACTAAAACAATGTCGAGAAAGCATTCTTGTGTAACTGAAATTATTTTATATTATGTGTAAGAAAATTAATATTAGTGAGTGCATTTGGATGCATACATAACAATGTCATGTATAGCTGCAATTAATTACAAACAGTTCTCAAACTGTTTATTTTCTCATAACAAATAATTTCAGGAGAAAAAATTATTATATTATGATATCATATCTGCATTGTTAAAAGTGGGTATTGCAGCTTCACATGCGGTAATAAACTATGTAAACCTTTGGTACCTAAGACATTCAAAGTATATGAAGAAATTCATTATCAAACAATGAGCAACGATGTCGCCCAAAATCGTCGTGCAGACATAATGATGATAGGTAGGATAAAACACCACAGACTCATCTCGGACTCATCCGAGACCCAATAATTCGTTGGGAAACAAAAAGACCCCATCCAGGACACAGCAGTTGATGAGGAAAATCTACCAACCTGATGCGTCCTCACATTCCGATTTCGACTTTTTCCCGTAACATATTTATTATATACTCTATAAATCTCAATGTTGAATTTTGTATATAATAATGAGTAATGACTAATGACTCATTACGTCTTCGTTGCTCAAGTTTTAGTTTATACTTGATAACTTATATTTGTATTGGTCTTCAATATCTAAGTACCGATGACATATTTTTAAATTGTGTTTACGTTCACATTTATATCACGATTATTGACGATACAACAGCGTGTCCGGGATGGCCACCTGCACTCTGCAGATTCAAATAAATATATAATATACAATATGAAGTGTATGACGTATGTATAATATCATATAGGTATTCAGAAAACGGTTTTTGGAATTTCAGCCCTTTTTCCTTTTGCCAGTGCTCAGTTGCCACGTGTAGTCACTCTCTTTATAGCTACAGGACGGCGCGGCGCGTGCCTTATACGATGTTATCATTATATATCTACTCGCTGCACGTGCAACACACACACACACACACACACACACATACACACACACACACACACACACACACACACACACACACACACACACACACACACACACACACANTAGTCACTCTCTTTATAGCTACAGGACGGCGCGGCGCGTGCCTTATACGATGTTATCATTATATATCTACTCGCTGCACGTGCAACACACACACACACACACACACACACACACACCGGTGTATATGCCCGACGATTTAGGAATACTATATATTACTCTTCTGCGGGTATAATTACCAGTTAACCGCCGCGTTTGGATAGATCACATGTTTTCACGCGGTTATCTTTCAGCAACTGTATTCGTAAAGTGGTTTTAATTGGTTCTGAAGCAAGGAATTAAACCGTGTTTACATTGGAAGTAAGCACGGTTCAATGGCTCATCTTCTTCATCTTCTTCTCCTCACCCCTTTTCGGCCTATTCTTTGTCGAATGTGAATTTTCTCTATCAGCAACTACTTGTCTGAGATAACTATAAAACAATCATTGTAGGTAATAGACGTTGAATAAGACATGTAACATTATAATAAATGCCAAGTAAATATTTAGGTTTGAGGTAAGACAGGTATGTTATTTTTTTGCCCACGGTCATATACAAAAGTGTGTAAATCGGGATCTGGAGTCCATTTGGTTATACTGTAGGTAAGTTACTTTTTTTCTTATCGGCATAAAATATCACTATTGATTTCTTCTAGTACGGTCATAAAGTAAATAATTTATACTATATTTTTAGCACAGTTAATCAATCTACAAGATAAAACAAATATAGGGAAGTACTAATTTCAACTTTTCTATAATTACGGGTCCAATATCTATACAAGATATCTAAAAGATTATTATTTTTTTACTCGATTAATTTTTAATAATCTATTCTAATAACCTTGTTAGAAGCATTATGCGTATTTGATTTAACGATATATCAACTTCGATATTAACCGTTAGTTAGTTATTATATTCCTACTACCGATAAAAAAAAAAATGTACGTGATACATATAGAATCAAAGAATGAGTTTACTGTAGCAATATGAAAATATATGAAATTTCGATACTAGTTTATATGAAAAGAGCTTATTAACATGCTGGTTTTACAACTGGGGATGCTAAGCGCACCCAAGCCTTCTCCTCCCAAATTGCACTTATGGTGGTTCTAAAATATATTGTATGGTTTGTATGCTGAAATAACGATAGTCAAATAAATAGCATTAGGTTAGGTCTATGAAAATTATAGGTTTTAATGATGTGATTGTTTGCCTACAACCTTTGCTAAGTTAGGTTAGGTTAGAATCTGCGCATTCTATAAGTTCAAATATATGTTTTTCTCACATTATTCCCTTCATTAAACCTTGCAGTTCTTAGATCTCAAGCCACATCATACTGCATTAGGATCAATTTCTTTACCAAACTAATGTCATCAGCGAAACCTGCATTACCTTCTTGGGCGTTCAACTGAAATTACTAATTGGTTTCTCGGCGAAGAAAAAAATAATTCAAGAATTTTCAAGATTATCTGCGAACACAAACGTGACATCAGAAGTCCAGAACTCGATTTGAAGTGAGTAGTCGCATCATTAAGATAAAACGCTCGACATAAACGTGTTTTCGGACAAACCAAAGAAAATACACTTTCATTATCATAATAATGATAAAATCTTTTTTTTTATTTTTATGTATGGTCTGTAAAATATATATTATATGTAGGATGTAGGAAAGACACAGGTTGATATCAAGAGGTGTAGGGAAAAATAATTATTATATAATAAATAGTAGTTTTGACTCTTCGTATTTACTTAGGTAGTTTATATACATATTGAAATATATTGAGCTTTGCATTACAGGTATTTTATAAGTTTTACAGATCATATAAAATATAAGTTTAATGATTTCATACTTTTTTTCTGTCATAACAAATTATTTTGTTTACATGCAGACGGCGCACGTCTTATAATATAATATACATATCGTTATAATTTACAAAATTAAACTGCCCATAAGCCTATTGATATGTGACTACATGTATATGTGACATGTCATATATATGCACACACTATGCAATTGTATTATATTTATTGATTGTATAGGTACTTTTATATATGCGCGGACATATATTATAAGTAAACCGTAAACGAATAAATACCTATAATGCGAAGTTATTTTTGAATCACTTACTAAGTACATTTTAAATATTTTTTCATGAAAATGATCACCACCGCCCCAGTGGAAATATTTTTTGAGATTTAGAAACAGCTGCATTACAACTGTTGGACGTGGGTGCATTGTCCATCGTTATTCGACATGAACATTTCCCTATACTGCCATTATAGTGAGATACATCGTTCATTGAGAAAGGAGAGAATAATAGGGTTGGAATCTAATACCTTTACCTAGCGTTTGCGTGCCAAAACTCAAACAATTTCTCTGAGTAAAAAACTAAAAAAGTATTTCCATATATCTGATAACTTAAAAAATTTAAATGATAAAAATTTTTTCAACGACACAAAAATAATGGCCATGACAATATTTTAGTTGCTAACGTTGAAAAATCTTCTCGTATACGCATTATTTATATTCTACGTATATTTATATCTTTGAAATTCATATTGCTGAATAGTCTCGTAGTGTGTATTCGTTTTATGAGTTATTATGATTCATATATGGTTTATGAATCTCATTTATCGGACTGTAGATATCTGCAGTTGAAGATCCGGTATGGTTTATACACTTTATTTTTTATTTTTTTTAATCCAATCGTTTATCCCGCATTCGAGTAATTGCGTGTAATCGTATTCTTCTATTTCGTGGCCTGTGAAACCGGTGCGCCTCGACTGTAATACCTATCATGTATATACATTGTACACACTAAGTACACAAGACAAGTCTTGTCGTTATATGTAAGCCGTTTATACGGAAAGAAGAATTTTACTCTAACGAAAAACATCGTTCGTTATCCCGAGTGTCCTTTTCCGGCGAACCGCATGCTGTATATACACGCTCATACACTATTACACCGGAAATTTTTCGCTGAATGGATGTGTGTGAGTGTAGGGTAGTGACCGATAATGAAATTTTATTGCACGTTTATATAGTATATTATATACACTGCGAATAGCGGTAGCAGCGGGGATGAGCCTTATGTCCCGGCGAGCCTGCATCGGCAATAAATCAATCCATAATTAGCGATTGATACGATCGAGTCGTGGAGTTCGACGGTGGTGATGATAGTATAGATATAATATCATATGCTTATTATATTATACCAATACTCGTCTTCTCGTATACCATAGGGAAACGGGTACGACTGAGCGCGCGTGAGTGTAAAATATACGTGAACACTACTGGTTTTAACCGGTTCTGCGGTCGCGAGCGACATGAAGATATTATAAACAATAATAATCGTTTTTTATTAATTCATCGCGTGTCAGAGTTGACCGCCACAGCTCGTAGGCCTCCGAAGACTGCAACAAGTGTAGTACGTCACGTTTTTTTTTCTATTATTATTTACATTTACATTACCTACGCGGCACGTCGCGTCGTCAAGCGTCAAATGGAAAAAAAAAATAAAACTAAAACGATATATTATATAGGTACTTATAATACTTATACGTCCACTATAGATTCCAATATATATATATACCACGAATGAGTATAGGCTATATTGTAATACATTGTAGGTACATTGTTGTGTTGGCCGGAAAACCACTACTGCATGTCTGTATCGATTCATCATTCATCAAATATACACGTGTAAATGTTTTGATGCGAGTGCACGCTGCACGACTACCTATATAATACCTAAGTAATATAAACAGTAAAAACGTCCTCCTGTGAAATTTCATCAGACGAAGACTCGTTTTCCATCCGCTATGGAGATATTTTACTAAAGCAATAATATAATAAAAATATTGTCCCGAAAAAATAACACCTAAATCGTCAATGCAGTGGTCAGTAAATAGTATTATTATTGAAAATCTAAAAATGTTCTTACCTTATGGCTAATCATGATTAATAATATTATCAAAAATAGATGCCAATATTGTACTTAATTAAAATTCATAAGAACTATTTAATTTAGATGTCATTTGATCGAGAGTTTTTTTTAATCAATTAAACAACAAGATATTTTTTAAAGTCTATATACCATACATAATACGTTTTAAGTACTTATAACCTATTATAATCGGGTCTATCCACCTTGCAACTGATTAAACCATTAGGTATAGCTCAGAGACCAATTTTAATTAAATATGTTCAATTAAACAATAGAGTTTTATAACAAATAACTAAATTAATAATTAGGTATAAATATTTTCTTACAGTCATAACAGTTCATACAGTATATGTAATTACAGCGTGTTATTATTATTTCATATCCGATTGCACTATTGAAGTTCAGAAAATAATTAAAATAAGATTAGTATGACGATGAAAAACATAGAATCAATTGATTGTTAAGGTGTATACTGTACATCCATCGTGTTTGGTTTGAGTATGCCTATTGAATAGTTTTTATTGAATACCTATTGTATTTACATTGTAACAAGGATAATTCCTTTTTTTAATCATTTAGTGTACCTAGTCTATAATTCCTTAAGTACAGGCGTACAGCGAATATTAGAAATCGGACAAAATAATTTATAATACACACTTAGTCAAACGGTATACGTCGACGGTGTCTTAGAACTGATATTAATGGCATACAACTATATTGAAACATCCACCTTATTGTGCCTTCATAATAATACATAGTGGTGATATAAATGTCATAGACAAAAGTGAGAGTGACAGTAGATGAAGCTGTTGGCTCTAATTTTTAATTTTCATAATGAATTTATACATCGAGTTTCACAAATTTTTCTAAATAATTTGATGTATAGATTTAACAAATTCATAGCGTAGTATAATTATTACTAAAATCGAAACTTTATACCGTTACCATTTTTTTGCTGGACACTCAATTACATCAATTGTATTATTTTATGCCTATTACTATAACTATAAACTACTAGTAAATGGTTCCGTTTCGCACTTATTCACTTCAACTATTGACGGATATAATAATAGAATAGAATGTTTCTAATATTTAATGCCAATAATTTCACTTCGAGTACATTGAATTCCTATTGACATAACAAACAAAATGATTCTAATCGAAATCGATTAATTAGTTTATACCTGTCTATACCGACCTGAATCATATATGTCTCAAACTCGCCACTAGGACTTTTTGGTAGCAAGGCAATAGAGATTACTATAATCTTAAAATTACAATGAGCTTTGAATTGTGCAACTAAATATTAGTAAAATATTATACAAATTTTTCCTCTAAATTGTAATATTGTAAAAGGATTGTAATTCGGCTAAGATTCCTGTAACCTGCAATGGCCCAAGTCGCCGAGGCAGTTAACAAAACAAAAAGACTAAAGTATGTTGAGCACGCGTCTTGTTTTACTTATATTGATGCAGAATAGTTGTTT